TCATATTCCACTCTGGTGATGAACATATGCATGTTCTGTCATAATTAGCGATAACATTCTATCATAATCTCTCTTCTTATGGTTTTAAAAGTGTTTGATTTGCATCACATTAACAACAACAATGAAAGAGTGAATCAAAACGGGATTAGAAAATAATGTTCCTAATTAAATATCGACATAAATATGTACTTCTTAATTACCGGAAGGAAGTAATCAGCTTGAATACATGCGATCATTATAAGGAACTAATAGACCTTTTCATGTAATTGTGCAATTTGATTTCTGGTGTTCTCGAATAGGCGTCGTTCATTGATGAATGAATGTTCTACATAGGAGACCATCGACCGTTTACTCCTACTGGTTAAGCTGCTGCTAAACTGATACAATTACTAGTATAGCATGACTAGTATAATCCAAAAGTCGACTTGTTTTCGACTATATCCTCTTGAGACTCACGAAACGAGCAAATGAGTGTCGATGGTCAGCTGCTTTCAAGTAATAATAAAAAAGCTGAATTCTGGCGATGACTACTTGATAATTGCTTTGTCTATCTGTCAACTTATTACTGCCTATTCATCGTTACGGATTTGTTGTTGTCTAGAAATATTTATCCTCTTATGAAATGTTATCGTCTGGAAATACTCATCCTTTTATGACTTAATTCATTAGATCATATCGATGGAAGGGAAAATCTTTTGTGATGCGAATTGTTTCAGAACAATTGGCTTAATTCGCAGTTTTTTGAGGTGATATTAAAAAAGTGAGAATATGGAAGGGAATTAATGAAAATGAATTGGTGGAAATGATGTGGCAACATTTTCTAGGTATTATCTGAAACCACGAATGTCATTTGACGAATGCGATGAGAGCGCAAAGAGTGAAAATATCGATCCATCGAAATACGGTGAACTGCGATTGAGGCTGTTCTATACGGCCGATCATGTGTTACCGTTGGAGTTATATAAACCTCTGCAAATGAACCTGATCAATTCACTGGGCACACAACCCTTCTGTACAACTACAGCCGGTCTCTTAGAATATTTACCTTCGGTTAGTTCGAACTTATTTGAAGATGAAGAGATCCGATATGAATGTTCGTGTTACAATTGGTTCAGGATGTGATCGAGTCATTTCGAGTGTGGAAACAATATGACCAATTTGATGATTTTATGCGTCAAATTCTTTGTTTAATAGCAAATTCGATGATTTATTTATTTATATTAACTTTGAGCATTTATTCACTCGAAATGTT